ACAATAAAAGAGTAAGAACCAAACCAAAATAAAACCAGAGAACATACAAAGCAACTAGACAACACCTAGCAAAATGACAAGAGTAAGTTCTAATCTATCGACAACAATCCTAACTGCAAATGGATTAAACTCCCCATGTAAAAGATGCAGACTGGCTGAATGAATTTTAAAAAGAAAGTAACTATACTCCTACAAGAAACTGACTTCGCATGTAAAGACATACATAGATAACACACATAAACAGAAAGTAAAGGAATGAAAAATGTATCTCATGAAAATGGAAGCCAAAAGCAAACAGGAGTATCGATTTGATAACAGTTAAAGTAGACTTCAATTCAAAAACTGAAAAAGATAAAAAAGGCCATTATATAATGATGAAGGAATCAATCCAGCATGAAGACATAATTGTAAGTACACGTGTGCCCAATACGTAAACATATAAAACTATTACTATTATTAGAGTTAAAGGGAGAGATAAACTCTAATGCAGTAATTGTTGGATAATATTTCAATATCCTACTCTCAACCTTGGACAGATCATCTAGGCAGAAAATCGATAAATATTTTACTTAAACCTCACCATAGGTCAAAAGGACTGACGTTGACAGAGTATTTCACCCAACAACTAGAGGTAACATTCCTCTTATTAGTACCTAGATTATGCTCCAAGACAGACCACATGTTAGGCCACAAAATAAGTCTCGAAAAATAAAACTTCTAAAACTAGAAATCATATCAAATATCTTTGCTGATCATAATGAAAAGAAACTAGAAATTATTAACAATATGAATATTGGAAATCATATAAACACATGGAAACTAAATAATGCATTTCTGAATTACCACTGGGTTAAGGAAAAAATCAAGACAAAAATTTAAAAATTGATGGAAACAAATGAAAATACAACATACCAAAGCCTATGGAATACTGCAAGAGCAGTTCTAAGAGGAAAGTTTATAGCAATTTATGCCTCTATCAAAAATGAGTAAATGATAAATAAATAAATAAGAAAGATTTCCAATAAACAAAATGAATACAACCTAATTCCAAAAATTAGCAGAAGGATATAAATAAGAAAAATTAGAGAAGAAATAAACTAACTTTAGACTTTAAAAAAATGATATAAAGGATCAATAAAACAAAAAGTTGCTTTTTAAAGATAAAATTAATAAACCATTAGCTGGACTAAATCATAAAAAGAGAGAAGACACCAGTAAAATAAGAGACAAAAAAAGGAGATTCCAACTGATAAAAAAGAAATATAAAAGATAATTTGACTTGTGAAAAACTGTATGCAAACAAACTGAAAATTCTAGATGAAATGGATACATTACTGGACACACACCATCTACCAAGACTGAACCAGGAAGAAATACAAAATCTGATTATACCAATAACAGTCATTGAGATTAAGTCAGCAATAACAAGTGTCCCAAACAAGAAGCATGTAGAACCAAATGGTTTTACTGCTGAATTCTACCAAACTTTAAAGAAGAGCTAGTATCAGTTGTCCTCAGACTATTCTAAGGAATCAAAGTGGAATGAATCCTCCAAACTCATTCTACTAGGCCAGTATTACCCTAAAACAACCAAAACCAGACAGATAACACACACACACACACACACACACACACACCTGTGTGCAGAACATATTTGTATTTCTTGGGTCTGGATATTTCAATGCCTCTCTAGGTTCATTTGTTAATTTTAAGAGGGCTTTTGTTTGTTTGTTATTGTGTAATCTTTAGGGTTTTATCCCTAGTGAACAAAAATCCTTGGCAAAAATATTAGCAAATCAATTTCAACAGCACATCAAAAAGATTACACATCTTAACCAACTAGGTTTTATCCTAAGAATACAAGGACAGTTTAAACATATGTAAATCTGTAAATGTAATAAATCATATCAACAAAATGAAGGACAAAAATCACATGATCATCTCATTAGATATGGAGAAAGCATTTGACAAAATTCAACATCAATTCAAAACAAAAATGCTCAACAAATTAGGTTTAGAAGGGGAACATACCTTAACATAATAAAGGCCATTGGTGACAAATCCACAGCTAACTGAATGGGGAAAAACTGAAAACTTTTCCGCTAAGTACTGGAACAAGACTTGCTCTGCTCTTTTTTAATATAGTACCAGACATTCTAGTCACGCAATTGGTTAAGAGAAATAAACGGCATCTAAATTGGAAAGGAGGAGGCTAAATTGTCCCTGTTTGCAGACAATATGATAGTAGATAAAGAAAACCCTAAAGATGATCCCCAAAACAAACAAACAAAAGCACAAAACAAAAAAATTTTGTTTTCTTTTGAGTGGTTGGGTTCAGTAATTTGTTAAAAAAAAGAATTATTTTTATTGTTTTTATTTTTTTATTTCTTTTTTTATACATTCAATTACCTTTTTTAGCTTACAAAGTGAATATTTCACTATGTGAACATTTCTCTCTAGTCCAGTTGGTTAAATTATAAAATATCTTCAATTGATAATACCACATTTTTGTTGTCCCATTAATGCTTTGCCTCCCTATTTTTCTTCTAAATGTTTAAATTGAAACATAAACTTTTCTCCCTTCCTGACCCCTTTGCAATTAGAAAATATTTGTGAGCTTATTTTGTGGCAGAATGGTTATTTGCATAAGTTCAATAATACAATAGTATCTGTTGTCTTGCCTCAGAAATTGAATTCTTATGGGGCTTTGTGCAAATAACAGACCAAATTGAGATTAACCTAATTTTTTTTTCAAATAAATTAGTTCATATTTCTCTTTATGCATGCAGGCCTATGAGCCCAAAGCCCAGTGTTAGTTTAAGCTGCCAGGTCCAAGACTTGAACCATGGTTGACTACATGTGAGTCCAAAGATGTAACCACTATGCCATCTACTGGTCCCCACTTTCCTTTTTTCTCTCCCTCTCTTTGGCAAGTGCACACACCTTATAGCACATTTAAAAAATATATTATTTTAAAGAATAAAAAAAAATTGCATTTAAAACAGCTAAAAAGAAAATAAAATGCCCAGGAATAAATTTAACCAAGGAGGTATAAGATCTCCAATATAAATAAAATACTTATAAAAGAAATTGAAGAAGCCACACAAAAAAATTCAGATATTCAGTGTTCATAGATTAGATGAATCAGTATTATTAAAATGCCTATACTACTTAACTGAATACAATTTATCTGTTCAATGCATTACCTATCAAATTACCAAGCATATTCTTCACAGATATAGAAAAAAATATGAAATTTGTATGAAATCATAAAAGAGCCCAAATAGAAAATGAAATCTTGAGCAAAACTTGTGAAGCTGGAGGCATTATACCACTGGATTTCAATGTATACTATAAAGGTATAATAACAAAAATAGGATGGTACTGGCAAAAGCAGACACATAGATCAATGGAACAAAACAAACAATCCGGAAATAGGTCCATGTATATACAGCCAGCTGATGTTTAACAGAGCTGCCAAGAAAATCCACTGGGAGGGACCAGCAGATGACGTAATGGCTACGTTGCTGGACTCCTACGTAGTCAACTGCAGTTTGAGTGCCAGACCCGGCAGCTTAAACACACAATGAGCTTACCTACTTGTGTGTCCAAGATCCAGAGAGAATGGAGGAGAAGGGATTGTAGTGTGGCCATCTCCCCTGAGGGGGTGATTTATCACTTTCTGTCTTTATCACTCTTTCTGGCCAGTGAGTGTGCCCTATAGCAAAAACCTCTCCAAAAAAAAAAAAAAAAAAAAAATCCCCTGATGGAAAGTCTCCTCAATAATTGGTGCTGGGGAAACTGTGTATGTAGAAGAATAAAGTTAGAGTATATCTCTCACTATCCACAAAAATCAACTCCAAATGCATTCAAGACTTAAACATAAAGCCTGAAGCTACTGTGCTACGGGATGAAAACATAGGTGAAACACTTCAAGATATCCATATGGGTAAAGACTTCTTGAATAAAAACTCAAAAGCACAGGCAACAAAAGCAAAAATTGGCAAATGGGATTATAGCCAATTTGAAAGAATCCGCCCAAGATCCCAAGAGGAGAATGGTTGAGAAGGGACTGTGGAGTGGCCATCCCCCCTAGGGGAGGTGATTTCTCACTTTCTATCTCTGTGTCTCTCTCTGTGTCTCTGGCAAGCACACATGCCCTATAGCAAAAACCTCTCCAAAAAAAAAAAAAAGAATCTGCACAACATAAATGACAAAGAATCAATAACCAGGCTATACAAAGAATTTAACAGCCAAAAATGAATACTAAATAAAATAACCTGACTGAAAAATGAACAAATGACCTAGACAAACAGTTTTCAAAAGACATGCAAATGACCAATAAACATGAAAAAATGTTCAGCATCACTGGCCGTTAGGGAAATGCAAATCAAAACCACAATGGGATATCATCTGATCCCAGTTCAAAGGACTATGATTAAAAAGATAAAAAATAACAAATGCTAGCGAGGATGTGGAGAAAAGGGTGCTCTTTAACACCATTGGTGGGAATGTAAACTGGTCCAGTCATTATAAAAGTAGTATAAAGTTTCCTTAAAAAACTAAAAATAAAACTTCTGTGTGATCCAGTTTTCCCTCTGTTTGGTGTATATCCCAAGAAAATCAGTATGTCATAAAAGTATCTGCACCCCAGCCTTTATTGTAGTGCTATTCACAATAGCCAGTATATGCAAAATCTAAGTTTCCCTCAACAGACAAATAAATAAAGTGTGGGGAGATATATATACAAATACATTTCCCACTTATAAAACAGTAAAAAAAAAATTTAAAAAAGACTCTAGAATTATATCACTTAATCTTGAATTAGTCTTATTATTTTTGCAAAGGGTCCTTTCCAGTAGTGACTGAGTATGTAAATCAATATGATCAATGTGGTTAATAAAGCCACACATGATGTTTCATTTTGCCACTAAAAATTGTCTTTATTTGTAGAGTTGAATATGTATATATATATATATAAATTTTTTTTTGGTTCCTAGGTTGGATCACTACATGCATGCTTCCTTGCAAAAAGGAATTTCCAAGTTGATGTATATGAAGCTAGGGAAGGTAAGTCAATAGTGAACATTGTGAGATGTGATTCTGATTCTTTGACACCTTTGTCTCTCTTTTTTAAGACTATTTTTTAAAATTATTATTATTTTTAAAATTATTTATTAAATTTTATTTATTCCTTTATTTAATTTTAATTTGACAGAGAGAGACACAGAAACAGAAAGAGGGGAAGTGAGAAAGCCAGGCACCAGGTCCAAGACTTGAACCATGGTCAGCCATGTGGGAGTGTCCAACGCCTTAACCACCATGCCACCTGCTGGTCCCAATTTTTAAAAATTATTTATTATTATTATTATGTAAGTTTGATATAGAACACATGAGAGAGGTAGAGAGAGAGAGGGGAAAAGTGAGAAAGCAAGCCACAAGGTCTGGGACTTGAACAGTGGCCAGCCATGTGGGAGTCCAGTACCCTAACCGCCATGGCACCTGCTGCTCCTCTCTCTCTTTCTTTGTAAGATATATATGTGTGTGTGCATATATATATATCTTCCATGGGAGAGTAGAGAGAGAGAAAAACACCCCCAGTAGAGTCAGCATGCTGCAATCAACACCAAGTCTTAGCAGGTTCAGATCACTGGTGCATGGACAAATGCATGTAAGCTCAGAAAGTTTGTAGGATGTGATACCAAGACCCCTTCCATAGAGACCCCGATGCACCACCATGTGCCAACACCTTGACCTTTCTCTTGATCTTCTGAATTTAAAAAAAAAAAAATTAGTAAAATAAAGTTTTTAAAAAAAGAATTGTTTTTGGAAACCTCAGCTATCTAAATTTAATATGGACTTACTACTTTTTATATTTTCATTAGAAGAGTTAATAAGGTCTTTAAATTGTGTCCCGAATGCACCAAATGTTCAGGGACAATGACATGCCCATCCTATATATACTCCTGTAACATGGAGTCTGCTTCCAATGTCTTAGATATTCGAGTGGCTGAATTCGCACGTGGAAGAAGCATTAACTTGGCCCTTTCTTATAGAGGACGGCAAGCCTTGAAAGCCATTGGCCTAGAAGATCAGGTACCTTGTTAAATCATTTTCTTTATAAAAGATATTACCTGTGGTCTTGATTTCATCCTGGTTCGAAGTGCCATTTAGTGCCAAGAATACCTGCATGAAAATTCACGCTACGAATGTTTTCAAAATTTTTAATTAGGCAAGAGGGTCACCTGACTTGCCACTTGAGGCACCAGAGTGTGACAGGCAACACTGAAACCTCATCTAATGATTGCTTCTAACATTGGCTCTCAACAGCATGGTGGGTCTCTGCCGATAGCAAATAGGAGTTGAGATGACGAATGAAATGACAGGAGGCAGAAAAACTCTGTTTTTAATTCTACAGGCCCATAATTTCTTATCCACAATTCTACACCCCAGAAAGTTCTGAAAATTGAAAGCTTTTTTCATCATTGATTTGGCAGCAAACCTTGACCTGACATGAAACTCACATGGTCTATTTTTTTTTTAAAAAAACTATTTAGTATGAATATGTTTTTTAACAGAAAATGTGTTTTTGATTTGGGAGGTGGCCCAGACCCGCTGGGTGTTATGTGATATCCAGCATATGTATGATACACTGCCTGTCTACAATTTGAAAAATTATGAATTCTGAAATTGTCAAATTTTATTTGGATAAAAAAAAAAAGTGTTAAAAATGCAGAACAATTTTTTTTTTTTAAAAAACTATTTAGTATGATATGTTTTTTAACAGAAAATGTGTTTTTGATTTGGGAGGTGGCCCAGACCCGCTGGGTGTTATGTGATATCCAGCATATGTATGATACACTGCCTGTCTACAATTTGAAAAATTATGAATTCTGAAATTGTCAAATTTTATTTGGATAAAAAAAAAAAGTGTTAAAAATGCAGAACAATTTCCTCACATGGGCTTAATGATGAGAACTTCTCATTGTGTAACATAAAACTTGGAAATGTAAACAGAAGTGATATACACAGGGCCTTCAAAAGTTCATGGAAAATGTGTATTATGAAAAAACTGTGGGTGGATTTCAAAATTATTTTGCACCAGAATGAACTCGTAACTTCAGTTCCATTTTATCTAAACTTTTTGAAGTCCCCTTATATTTCTCTTGATAATACTTTCTCTGACAATGAGTCTTTGAATTGATAATAAAAGTAAAAAGGGACCAGCAGATGGCATAATGGCTACGTTGCTGGACTCCCATGTAGTTGACCATGGTTCGAGTCCCGGACCTGGTGGCTTAAACTCATGCCAGGAGCATGTGTGTGCGTGCCCAAGATCCTGAGAGGAGAATGGAGGAGAAGGGATTGCAGCATGTCCATTCCCCCCGGGAGGCGGGGGGCGTTTTCTGTCTCTCTGTCTCTCTGTCTTTCTGGTTATAGCAAAACCCTCCCAAAAAAAAAAAAAAAAAAAAAAAAGTAAATACAGGTGGATCTGCATTCCTGCAATTGTCTTCCATACAACAGCAGCCATATATACAGCAGCAGCAGTATAAGACATTATGGTGGATTTTAGAAGCCTGGCGTTTTACACTTCATGGTGACCCTTTTTGTTATTGTAAGAAAATCACTTAACTTCTCTAACAACATAACACTTTCCTCAGTCTGTGATATTTGACTGAGATTAGATATACTTTAAGTCAATTCCAAGATCTAAAGTAAAAATAAAACAAAAAACAACTAAACTAAAAATTTCAGGAACATAGTTTTCACTGAATGTGTTTTTACCATACTGGACTTTCGTGATCCTTCACAATTTTTTAGATTTTTTTTTGGGGGGGAAGAATATTTGAAAATCACATTTTGCAATCAATATCTATCTTATTGCACACTGCTATGTTATAGTAATTAAAATCAATATTTCTGGTTTCATTTCAGATTGTATCCCAAGGTATTCCCATGAGAGCAAGAATGATTCACTCTCTTTCAGGAAAAAAGTCTGCCATTCCCTACGGGACAAAGTCTCAGGTAGGTCACCCTGGAGCCTACTGTGCATTGATTGTAACGAAGTCTGATGTCTGGTACCTACCACTTACTTACGGGCCCCTTCCTTCCTCTCTAGCCCTATCTTTGACATTGCCTGCCTCATTCCGTCTAGATTTTAAGAACACATACATTAGTTAGCAAATTAATTCACGAAGACACTCAGAACAGATCCGAGCCCCTAATAAACATTCAAACAGACTTAGCTATTAGCATTTCCCTTAAACGTTTATTTCTTGCCTCTGTGCACTGCTTCTGTGGCCTGGCTGCCTGAGACTCCTTTTCAATCAGACAGAGAGGCTTATAATGTTATTTGCTGGCAAGCATAATGTTTTATGATGTTGATGTTTTCACCTAACTAAACCTCTTGCCCAGATGTGTTTCTAACAATTTACAGAACCGATCAGAAAGGCTGCCAGTGCTACATTCATTTTGCAACAGTAGAGGCCAGACATGATGGAGAGTTTATGAAAGAACATTCATTATCCTGCTTTGTGTTGTTGGTAGCTTTCATGCAGTACCAAACAGAACTGGGGGGAAGATGTGTTTTTATCTAGTATACCTTCTGAGTTTGTTTCCTTGAAGAGAATGAATGCACCAAACATCCATGAGCAGAAAAAACCCAATTTGCTTTGTTTGGATCTAAGCAGTATTTTTGTTGAGCATAGAGACACAGTGAGATTCAGATTTTTCTCTGACCCTTTGCAAAGCTCCCATTGCAGGTCAATTAGCACTTTGCATACTCACCTGGGACCTTGGTAAAATAAGGAGCCTGACTCAATAGGGCTGAGGTTTGGCATTTCCAACAAACTCCAAGTGATGTTCACGCTGCTGGTTCAGAGACCACACTTTAGGAAACAAGATCTGAAGCCCATATGTTCGTAGGATCAAGGTTTAGCTTATCTTTTAATGATGTACATGGCTCAAAGTAAAACATTCTATTATTCTATTACACCTTTTGGGGTGGGGACCAAATAAAATTTTTTTTTATTTAATAGCTTATTAAAAATAGTAACCTGCTTTTTGGACATTATGAAAATATAGGTACAAAGTCTTAACACATATGCCTGATAGAAGGAAGGAGGAAGAAGCCCACTGAGCCATTCTTAGTGAGATAAACATTTTCAAGTAATTAACATGTCCTATGTAATTGGCCCCAAATTGAGCTGGGTATAACAGGAGAGACCAAAGAATTGTCTCCTTAATAAGCTAGTAAGGTTAACACGTGGAAATCAAGCATGAGTTGTGCATAATAAATCTGGCACTCAATAATGATTGTCTTGTGTATCATGCACTGCTAGCTGCTGAGAACAGAGGAGTATGCAACCCAGAGGGATGCACAGAAATCAAGTTCATTACACAAAGACTTCCGCTGGGTGATGGCAGGAGCGCTTAGCTATATGGTTCAGATAAGAAATAGGAAATTGGTCAGAGAGAGAGGAAGGTTGTAGTTTTCAGAGAAGATTTCACAGAGAAAGAAAGATTAGAGATGGACATTTGTTTAAATCTTAAATCGGCAGTGAAACAAAGTTGTCCCGATCCAATCCCTACTTGGTTTGATCTCTTATGGAGGAAGGTGGAATGAGATTGATTTCTAAGAAATGCACGTTTTTTAAGCACTAAGTGTATTAGGTGGGAAAACTTCCAAATACACTTTAGTAAAACAGACTCTCACAGTCATTAGCAACTCTGGATTCATTGAATGCAATCACGTTGTTTTAGAGACAAGGAAATAGACTCACATGAGAAATCAAGGAAGCAAGAAGGCAGGTTTCCTCACAGGCAAGTTGCTGGCTGAACATGGGTGCTGAGAGCCTGGACAGTACTGCTTAGTTACATACATATGTGTGTGTGTGTGTGTGTGTGTGTGTGTGTGTGTTTGTATACACTAAACTGTGAGGGATTCATAATAATTATATCACTCTTATTGTGTAGTAACATGGACTGTGCTGAGGAAGACCAAGTGTTGCTCATCCTTTCTGTAGAGATTAAGCCAATGACATATCAATAGTAAGATATGGTTCAGTATCAGAGAAGTTAGATGAGGAGAGCAACTTGGACGTGAGTTCCAAATTGGCCTTTTTACCCTGAATATTGTGTGTGTGTGTGTGTGTGTCTGTGTGCATGTGAGGGAGAGGAAGAGAGAGAGAAAGCGCACATTAATTCCCTAAAAGGGTGAAAGCATTAGTGCGTGTTTCCACTTGGGGCCTTCAACACTTTATAAGAGGGAGGAAATGGTCCATCCCTCATCATCCTTCTGTTTCTCTAAATTCTTAAGAACCAAATTCATGCTAAATTTAGAGCCGCCCCTCATTTTTCATTTGCATCATTGGTTTTATATCTCAGTCAAACATGGGGACCTCCTTGCCCTTTAAGAACCACATAAAATATCTTTGAACCTCATAAGTTCACAGCTGTACCCCTTGACCCCAGGATAGCTTCAATCTCCAAGTAGTTGGACCCCTCTGTCTCTTGGCTCTGTATTCCCGTTTACTTGTTATTGACTGTGTACCATGGGAGTCCAGGCATATAATTTACCCTTTTCATCGGTTTTCAAAAACAACGCTCATTCAGAAGATGCATGAGGAGCCACTAGGTGGCATAGTGATTGAGTCTTCAGGCTCCTCTCTAACCGACCACAGTTCAAGTCCTGGACCTGGTGGCTTGCTTTCTCACTCTCTCTTTCTGGTCAGATTAAAATAATAATAATAATAATAAACAAACTTAAATAAATTTTTCTTTAAAAAACAAAACAAAAGATGCATGAATCTTCAGAAGATCTATGGATCATTAAGAGATGACAGTGGGCATGATACATCAAACAATCTAGAAATCCCGATGTGCAGAATTTGACCTCCCAAGTTCTTGTTGATCCCCTTGTCGGGCCGCCCTCCTCCAGCTGTTTCTTTCTTGGTCCTGTCTTGCTTTCATATTTATCCCTATAAAAACATTCTCTAAAAAATAGAGCTTGTCAGAGCTCTCCAATTCTTACTCCCTACCTCTTATGCTGAAAATAGAGAAACAACACCCCCTCAATAGGAAACATTCTCCTCCGAAGTCATTGGGAATAGAAGAAATAAATGATTTTTTCCCTTATGCCAAGAATCTTCAAAAAGTTCATGGAAAATGCATACTATGAAAAAACTATGGATGAATTCAAGATTTTTTTGGTGCCAAAGTAAATTCGTACATTAATCCTATTTTTCACAAACTTTTAAAAGTACCCTCGTATAACTGAGATAGTCAATGCTACAATGATTGCTTTAGAAATCTACAAAGGAGAATATCTAATCTCTTGTAGGTTTTCTGGTATTCTCTTTAGTTATAAAAGCCACTTTATAGCTCCTGATTTATTTATTCTTATCCTTATTTATCATTTATAAGGTCAATCTCTTAGAATAGGTGTTGGAGGAGTGTAATTTGAGGGGAGCAATTCAAATTTTAGGTGATGCTATAATATTGTCCAAGATTTGGAGAACAGACAAGACAAGGGATGTCCAATGTTCGTGCAGGACTGAGGTGTCTGTCAGTTTCCAGAAGATGCAAACATCAACCAAACCTGACAATTGATATGAAATGAATATTTTCACACATAAAAGAATCTTATAAATGGAACATTTCCTAATAGGTTTGGCATAACAAATTTTGTTTCCATTGAAAAGACTAATGATCCAGAAGACTAGAAAGCACAACTAGAACAGTGCAGAGCTAGAGGCACGGAATAAAGAGATTTCTTTTTATTTTAATTTATAACAAAGACAGGAAGCCTCTCCTCAGTTATTATCATCGTAGTATGACCAGGTTCTTTCTACAGAAGTATAAATTTAGCTGTTAGTGTTAAACTTCTACTTTTTGAGGAGGTGAAGATTCCTAATTAGCATATTTGTGCTAAAATATTGTGATGTCATAATTTGGATAATCATATGCTTTAATTTTTTTTTATGCAATACATTCACCCCAAATTGCAAGGCTGAATTATTACTTTTATGGCCCCTATATAGATATCTTTGTCATCGTGGGCTTCTTTTTCTATAAAACACTAAATTTTTTTTTAAGTTTTTTTTGCTAATAGGGTGCATGCGCTCGCCAGACAGAGAGAGACAGAGAGACAGAAAGCAAGAAATCACCCCCAGGAGGGATGGCCACACCACAATCCCTTCTCCTCCATTCTTCTCTCAGGATCTTGGGCACGCGCACACCAGGTCTGGAATGTGAACTGCAGTCGACTATGTGGGAGTCCAGAGACATAGCCATTACACTAGCTGCTGGTCCCAAAACACTAAATATTAAAAAGTATATTTTACAACTACATTGGTATAAAGATGACTATAATCCAGGCTGGATTTATTATTATACTAGGTTGCTGGGAAAGTCATGATGTACTTTTTCTATGTTTTTCTATGCAAAAATGCATCATGACTTTTCCAATGACCCATTCTATTTATGATTATTGCACTTATTTTTTTCTTTTGATTTTAAAATAAATTAACATCGAACCATTTTAATTGATCTGTTAAAATAGTGTGGCCCCTGAGTACTGTAACTCCCTCATCTTATGGGATAATCTTGCTGAATTGTCCTATAAAGTCAGAAACAAGTGATGTTTGCTTCTACTTTTGCCAACCGCCATCCCTACCACAACCACCCAGCACACGCATACGTGTACACACACGTGCACACCTTTTACATTGAACTGAAGGCCTTCAAAATAGCCTTACTGAGAAATAGGATATTATTCTAGTAATACTGTCATTACAGAAGTTTCTCTAACAGCTAAATTTGTCCCCCCCCAAAAAACGTTTGTGGTTAAACAAAACTATCTTAGTAAAAGTAAAAATGACATTTTAGCTAGAAGGGAAGGGTTTGGTTTTTATAGTCCAACTTGGAAATAAGTTAAAACTTGGGCATTGTAGTATATATATTTGGTTAAAGTATTTTTTAAAGGCCACTTAGTTAAATGGTTATAAAACTAAGCTTACAACCTTCTACTCAATATTAAATATTTCCTATTGCTAAGTGAGTAACTTAGAATTTTATTTGTCCAATCTCCAGAAACAGTGTCTACTGTATTTTTCTTGCAGTATATTCTTTCCATAAGCAGAGAAAATTTAAACAAGGATCTTCTGACTGGTAAGTCCAATTCTTTTATTACCAGTTGTCATTTTGAGTAAAGCACATAATCTTGTCATGTAATTTACTGGGACTTGGCTCACTGTCCCTTTCTGTGGGTTATAAAAAATAAGACTATGTACATTACAAAGTTCTTCTTAAAAAGTAGTCCACGGTTTCTGTCTCTTCCTCATCTGATAGATGATCTAAATGAAAATCACTTGTTCACTGTATATTGAATTCCCATTGTCTCGTAGGCAGTAGAAGGCCTAAGTGTTCACTCTCAATAATGAATACAGTCTAGAGGAACAACAGTCGATGCTCACATCATTTGCAAAGTGACTTAATTAAATTTGCACTGCATAAGAATGAAAAATTATTAGTGTAGAGACTGATAGAGGGCTGCAGACCTCAGGGTATTGCACATTCCTGTGTATTAGACAGTAGGAAACCAAGGAGAGTAGGGGCTGTAAGGAGTTAAGAAAATGAAAGATAAAACATAACCTTGAGCAACTAAAAATGTTACTAAACTAATAGAAACTTCAGGGAAAGGTCTGTCCATTAAAAGAAAAGTCACTACATTGTAAATTAAATTCGGAGTTTGGATAATCAATTTAATCACTTCCATGCAGCCTTTACTAAATGTAAACATAGATCATAATGGTTTGTTCTCTTTCTGAGCATTTGTTCTTAAACAGATGGATGACCAGCAAAGAGTTCCTCAAGTATTTATCTTGTAGACCAAACCCTTTGAATATAGTCCAGCAGCCTCTGAACTTTGAAAAGTGGAAGTTTCGCATGTTTTTTCTTCACTTCTCCACTATCCTTGATTGAGTTTGCAAAGTCTGTTTGAATCCAATTGAGTTGTGTTGAATGAAGTGGATCGAACTGGAAAGAGAAACGTGATGGGGAAGTTCACTCTAGTTGATACACTGATGACTTGAAAAATAGCGCTTAGTATTCTTCATAATTCCATTTCTTACAGTTCAATGTGAACTGTAAGACCACCTCTTTATAGCATCCTCTGAATTTGTAAAGATAAAAATAATAGCAAACAGCAAACAGAGTCAGCAAGTGGCTTGGTGGTTAAGGTGCTGAATTCTTTTTTTAAAATTTATTTACATGTAATCACATCTTTACAGTATACATACATTTCTTTTTCCAACACAAGAACTATGCATGTCTGTCAAGACAAAGATATTACTATATACATTATCATCAGCAAAGAGTTTTTCATTTTTTATCAGTTAATTATACTTTTACCAGTTTTTTTTTCCTTCCCTTTTCCCTTCCCTCCCTTTCATACTAAACTTTTTTTTTCACATTTTATTGATTCACTAAAGATCTTAAAGTATGGACAAAACTAGAAATCTAGTGACAAGTGCACTATAATTTTCTCCTGAAACATTTTTCTCTCTCCATTCCCCCTTTTAATAAGAGAAGTATAAACTAACTTATTTGCAAAAAAAAAAAAACAAAAAAAAAACATTAGATTAACCTCAATTTGGTCTGTTATTTGCAAAAAGTCCCATAAGAATACAATTTCTCATACAAGGCAACAGATATTATTGTATTATTGAACTTATGCAAACAATCATTCTGCCGCAAAATAAGAATGCTCATAAATGTTTTCCAATTGCAAAGGGACCAGGAAGGAAGAAAAGTTTATGTTTCAATTAAAAAACTGTTTTTAACAAATTGCTGAACCTATCAACAACTCAAAAGAAAACAAAAACTCTTAAATCTGGAAGACAAAGCATAGGAGAAAATCAGTAATGTTTCAGAAAAAAGTCATGTGCTCGCTTCGGCAGCACATATACTAAAATTGGGACGATATGGAGAAGATTAGCATGGCCCCTGCACAAGGATGACATGCAAATTCATGAAGCATTCCATATTTAAAAAAAAAAAGTCATAGGATTCTACTTCACCAGTTCAGTCTCTTGTAATCTCTCTTTTGTTGAATTTGCAATGTGACTGTGGTCTGAACTTTCTGTTAACATTCAACATTATTGATATTTCAGAACTTGTCCCTACCATTAAGTTGGCTTTTTTTGTTGTCGTTGTTCTCTTGTTTGTCTGTCTGTCTTTAGTTTTCCTGGGATAGTATTCCCTTCAGAACTTTTCAAAGAGCTGGTCAGGTGTTGGTAACTTCTTTCAGGTTTTGTTTATCTGAGAATGTTTTTGTATTTTTTTTTCCATATGAAAGATAATCTTGCTGGATATAGTGTTCTTGGTTGAAATTGTTTTTCACTTAACACTTTGAAAATATTTTCCCATTCTTTCTTTGTTTGCATTGTATCTGATGAGAGGTCCAATGTTAGCCTGATGGGAGATCCTTTGAAAGTAATTTCATGTTTTCCTCTTTCCAATTTTAATATCTCATCTCTGTCTGTGGTTTTGGTCAATCTGGCTATGATTTGCCTTGGAGAAGACCTTCTTGGGTTGATTATCTGTGGGGGTCCTTTGTATTTCTTGGGTCTTGATATTTGAATGCCTCTCTAGATTTAGAAAGTTTTTTTCCAGGATTTCATGGAATAGATTATCAATGCCCTGATTAGTTTCTTCACCCTCTGGGATACCAATTATCTGGATATTTCAGTATCTAGTGGTATCTAGTATTACTCGTATATTATTCTCATTTTTTGGGTTATTTTCTCAGTTTCTGGTGAATTTTTCTAGGTCAGAGTTTCTGTCTTCTCCATGATCTAATTTGCCTTTAATACCCTCAAGGGAGATTTTGATTTACTGTATTACAGCCTTCATCTCTAATCGTTCCATTTGATTCTACTTTATGGTGTGTATTTCCTCTTTCAGATCATGAAAGAGGTTCCTCACCTCCTGAAACTCATTGTCTCTTTTCTTTTACATCTTCTGGAGTTCATTGTCTCTCTTCTCTTGCATCTCGGTTAGCTTTGTCACTATGAGGTCCTAAAATCTTTATTTGACATTTCCAGGAGTTCCATTGTACTGATTGTGGATGATGAAGGGCTGTTCTTTCCCCTTGCAGGGTAGATATTCTATTGATTTCCCGTATTTCTTGTGCCTCTGCTGTGGTTTCTGGTCATCTGATGGATTATATGTTTCTTCCTACTTTCTTGGAGTTATTTCTGAGTGTTAGAGGCATGTGGAATGAGATGACCTGCAATATTATTGCAGTTCCATTTCCCTGATCCTCACTAAGCAACCTGCACTTTTGTCAGTGAAACTGGTTATTACAAAGGCCTCACAGTTTCAAGGGAATAGGTGCATCTGGGCTGGGCTGTGGGGCTTCAACTAAGAATTCAGAGGTGTGTTGAGGAGATGAGCCGTGCTCTCCCTGCAGCTCCGTATCTCTCTCAGCTGCTCACTTTGCAGACTCTTCTCTGATTTTTAGTCATTTGGGGGTATGTTCACATTTGCCTAATTTGTTAGCAACTTCTGCTACTGTCAGCTCATATGCTTCACTTTACTGTGAGATACTTCTATGCCTATTTCTCCTCTACTACTGTGTTTTGCAACTTGGTATCCACAGAAAGGAACTTTAATTTAGATTTATAAAGCTGAATTTATCCCTTTCTGTAGCAGTTCAGTGGGGGTTGAGGTTTTCTATGACCCTAAAAGTATTCAGGTGTTTCAAAACTGTGCACCTAGACCTGCCTAGATACTCAATGTGCAGAAGGTGAGAAGCATTATGAGAAAGTCAGGTAAAAGAAAGAAAACAAAGGGAAAAAGATCAAAAGAGAGAGAGAGAGAACAAAACAATGAAAAGGGAAATTAAAAAAAAAAAACCTGCAAAAAATGAGAACTATGTGTGAAAGGGGCAGTGCTAGGCCCACCTCAGATGCACATGGATTCTGAAATTAGCAAGAGAAAGGAGAAGTCAGACACAAGAGACAGAACCTACAGATTTTTTAAAAATATATGTATACACCCCCCCCCACACACACACACACACATACACACACATATATATGAGAACATTTTTGAGAGAAAGGGAGAGGGAGCGAGAGAGACAGAGACAAAAAGAAGACAAAGATCACCCTACCTGGCTTTTCACTGGTTGTTGGGCCAGAAGGAGAGGTTTGGGGCAAAGGCTTTCCAGTTAAAGGGGCAGGCGTCGGCCCACCTCAGATGGACATGGATTCTGGCTTTTTGCTGGGTGTTGAACTGGAAGGAGAGGTTTGGGGCAGAGACCTTCCAGTTAAAGGGGCAGGCCTAGGCCCACCTCAGACGCACATGGTTTCTGCTTAAAACCCAGCTGGTGGAGCAGACAGTCTAGGCACTGCTACTTAATGCTGGAGGCTATATGGAAAAGGTGGTGCTGGGTTCTCATATGGTCACTGACCATGGTTCAAGTCCTGGAGCCAGTGACTTGAAAATCATGCCAGGTGAGCATGTGTATTTGTCTCCAAGAGGAGAATAGAGGAGAAGGGATTGCAGTGTGGTATCTCCCCTCCAGAAGGGGTGATTTCTCACTTTCTCTCATAAAAACATTTAAAAAAATCAGCAAGCATTCATTGAGGTACTAGGCACTATGTTAAGTGATTTATATACATCGGTTTACATAACTCTCTCAACAACTGTGCAAGGTAGAAGTTATTTTTGTCTCAATTTTACGGATGGTGAAATGAGGCTTAGAAAGCCTAGCTCACACTGTTAATAATTGGTAGAATCTGAATTTGAACTTAAGTCTGTTTATTCCAAAGTCCATGCATTCAACTACTACATTCTCTGCCTCTACTATTATATATGAAACATCTCTTTATATTAAAAAGCTAAAATATGGGAAAGGTATAATTTTCGTGTACACATTAGAAGTTTCCCTTTTTTTTTTTTTAGGAATGTGTTGTAGAGCATGCAATTTAATAAATGTCATACAGTGTTAATAACATGAATGCTGAATTTCTTGACCCCTAACCTATGTTTGTCATGTGAAGTTCTTTCTTTCTTTGCAAGGCATCAGATGCGTGAATTGCACATTTGGTCAATGAGATGCTCGTTTCTCTCTACTAAACAACCTCCCCTCTGAAAACATTGCCATTAAATCATTTCCCTGCATCAGCAATTCATGGAGGATTGTTTCCTGGTTAACTATTCTGTGGAATGTTAATAATCATTAAGTAAAACAAAACAGAAAAAGGATATGCGGTTAAATACATTTGATAAATCCTACCTCGAACAAGTTTTAAGTCGTTTTTTGTTTGTTTTTTTCCATGCAGTACTTCTCAGGACTTTTTCATTATACTAGCTTGCATTGTAGAACTTCTAAAGCAGCACTGTGCACTATGTGGCCACAAATGACAGCCGCACGTAATCATAAATTTTATACAAATCATTGTCAAAAATCTAAAAAGAAATGGGTGAAATAGTTTTAGTAGGATATATAGCCACCTACTGTATAAAAAATTTTGTCATTTCTATGTGTAATCAATATGAAAGTTTCCTTATGAGAAATTTTCTTCCTTTTTTTTAGGAGAGAGGTGGTTCTAAGTTGTCAAATTCCAGTGTGTGCCACACTTCTCAGTTCAGACTAGTTATATTGCAAACATTCAACAAGTACATGCAACTGCAGACCAGGAAGCATAGCTCAAGATGGTCAGAGTAGTCACTTCTTTTTTTTTTTTTTTTTGAGAGGTTTTTTCGCTATAGGACGTGTGCGCTCGCCAGACGGACAGAGAGAGATAGAGAGACAGAAAGCGAGAAATCACCCCCCCAGGGGGGATGGTCACGCCGCAATCCCTTCTCTTCCATTCTCCTCTCGGGATCTTGGGCACGCACACACATGCACCCGGCCTGAATTTTAAGCCACCGGGTCCAGGACGTGAACCGCGGTCAACTACATGGGAGTCCAGCGATATAGCCATTACGCTAACTGCTGGTTCCCAGAGTAGTCACTTCTTTACTGTCTTTGACCATGAAACAGCTTTTATTTATTTATTTTTTTAAGAGCATATTCCAACACTAATAGTCTATGGGAAAGTCTTTGGGATGTAATAGTATATATTATGTAAAAAATGAAATAAGATAAAGTTTATTCCACAAACATCTTTTGTTTTTAAAAGATCCCCTACTCCCTACCAAGTATCAAGCAAACTCTGATTTCTCCAAAGGTGTTGAAATTTTCTTATATAAAAACAAATTCGTTTGCTTGAAGGTCTTTCAGATTTTATTTTTTACTTATATATTTATTATTATTATTCATACATTAAATCGCTATACATCATTTAGATTATCGAGACTTTACCGAGCATGATATACACCTCGGTCCAGCCCAGTTGAGACCAGATTTTAATATCCTAAAATTTCCAGTGTCATATCCAAGACTCTTAAAATCTTCAAATCCTTGAGACCAGCAGATGGCATAATGGTTATGTTGCTGGACTTCCACATAGTTGACTGTGGTTCAAATCCTGGACCCAACAGCTTAATAACTCTTGTAGGGTGAGTTCTCCAAGAGGAGAATGGAGAATGGATTATGGCATGGCCATCCTTCCCGGGGGGTGATTTCTTACTTTCTGTCTATCTCTCTCTGTCTTTCCAACAAATGCATACACCCTACAGCAAAAATATCCCTAAAAAAAAATACCTTCAAATCCCAAATCAAACTAGAACAAAAGAAGATGAAACCTGAGATGAGGAGAAGTAGATATAAAAAATACTGAGTTGTAAGTCAGAACTCTTTGCTCATTTCCCCTACCCCATTTTTTTTTAAGTTTTTGTGTTCACTGGGGAGAGAGAGACAGAGGGAAAGTGAGAAATCACTCCTTCCTCCTCCACTGTCTTCTTGGGATTTGGGGCATGTACACACACACACCCAGCATGATTCTCAAGCCACCAGGAACAGGACATCACAGGTGACCATGTGGGAGTCCAGCCCCTTAATCATGATGCTACCTGCTGGCCCATTCGCCTAATTGTTTTAAAAGTCAATTCTTAAAAAAAAAAAATTGCCATAGAAGATACTATTTATAATTAATGTATCTAGCTTGAGTTTGGGCCTTAATTTTTCACTTTGTGATCTCAGGGATCTTAATCTTCCCTCTTAGGATCTGCATTGTAAGATGAAGGAATTTGAACTAAATCATCTCAAAGATTGATTTCAGCCCTAATATCTGCATTCTACTTTGTACTTTTATGAGTAACAAATAGTCTGTAATGTTGCCTCATCATGAACGTCATTAGGAACAAAGTCAGATTTTACTAATATAACAAGAACATGATTAATAATTCAGAACTCAATTCTAGATATCCCTACCAGGCGAGGCACAAAAGCACTAAAGTTTCAGTCTGTTTGTTGAGAAGTTTCAAAGCTTCTTATTCCTGTTTCCCCTTCCAGTATTGGATTTCCCAAAAAACTTAGCACCAATAATCTATGTTTGTGACAACTTGAATCAGGAGTCTGGGGACTTGATAAAACTAGACCCAGAGATGTACATACTATGAGGGAAGGAGCTTGGGTGAATATTTTCGATCACAAGGAAAGCCTGATATTAGCAGCAACTTTTGAAATATATGATGCTGGTGTCTTTCTAAAGTGGCTAATAATTACAGCAATGGAAGAATGTGCACAATGGAATTCGTTGGGTTTATTTAGAAGACTATAGCTGGGTTTTAGTCATCTATTTTACTAACAAATTAGACTAGAATTTTGGCCACACAATTGTCCAATGATCATTCTAATCCATGTGTTTTTACACCACTAAGGATAAATGTAAAATACATATCATACCGTTCCCAGGAAATGATAAATATTCTTTTTGCCTAAGTAAGCATTGAAATTTCATTTCTATTTGCTTTCTTTCTTTGTTTCCTCAGCTGTTGAAAAATACCCCAATGCGAAAGTGCACTTTGGCCACAGGCTGTTGAAATGTTTTCTTGAAGAAGGAAAAATCACAGTGCTTGGGTAATCACGGGTCAGGTTTTTGACTCCGGGGGTGAAAGCTTAGAGTAGAGAGCTGTATCTGTAAACTTTGTTCTTTGGCTCTTTTGAAATAGTTAAATGATTACTAAAAGGGTAATTTCAAATGGTTTCTAGATTCAAGAAATTTTGGATTGAAATAGGTCTTGGATACTTTCTGAACACCAATGTCAGTGATTCTTACTAATTCTCTTGTTACTCATCTTCCCACAGTATCCCACATGGGTGACCATGCTCTACTTAAGACTCTCTCCTCCTTCGACAAAGATGACTCTCCACCACCCTGCTTCTCCTGTCCTCGTCTCAGTGCTGTTTTTCTGCCTCTCCATAGCTGGTTCTATTACGTTGAAAAGCTCAAGTCACATATCCTACTGTTAGGATATGTCATGAGTTCAACATATAAACTCATGCCTCTAAAACGAACATCTCTAGTCAAGACTATTTTTGTTTGTTTGTTTGCTATTGTCATAGGGCACATGTGCTCACCAGAGAGTGACAGAGAGGGAAAGTGAGAAACAAACCCCCCAGGGGGGATGACCATGCCACAATTCTTTCTCTCCCATTTTCCTCTTGGGATTTTTAGGTACACACATACACACACACTCAGCATGATTTTCTTTTTTCTTTTTTTTTAGAGGTTGTTCAAATATTTTCTTTTTAAAATTTTTATTATTATTTATTATTATTCCCAGCATTATTTTCAAACTACTGTCTCTGGGACTTAAACTGCAATCAGCCATGTGGAAACCCAGTGCCTTAACCACCACATACCTCCTGGCTCTGTCGAATCTTCTCTTATCATTCTCAACCCTCCTCAAAAATCTTAATCAACTAATGTCAATTTTCTATTAAACATCCATGTCTCTCCGAGCCAGTTCCTTTCTTGACTTCTCTTGTACTATTTCTTGAATAACTAGAATTATTTGTGATGTATCCTTTTTTCTATTCCTTTCTGTTAAATATAAAAACACTTTCCAGGCATTCTGACTCCCTGTTGGCTTCAGAGTCTGTCTTCCTTATTTCTGCAGCATGACGGTACTTCCAGCTCTCATCCCCATACACATGTTATTACTATCATCGCGTTCCTGTTTTCCTCTCTTCTGCCACCACTCCAAACTGCCAAGTAAACTTTCTTATATAGTACCACTCTTCATACACCATCTTCTCAATGTAAAAATTTATGTCCTCCTTTTTAGCCAGAATGCAGACGGTACCCAACTTACAATAGTTCGATTTGGGACTTTTCAGCTTTACAATAGGTGAAAGTGATATACATTAAGTGGAAACCATACTTCAAATATTCATGCAACCATTCTGTTTTTTCACTTTCAATATTCAATAAATTATATGAGTATTCAACACTATTTTTAAAAGTTTATTTATTTACTTCTTCCATGAGAAAGAGAACAGAAAAAAATAAAACAGGGACAGACATCTTCATCTGAGTCTCACTCTATTCTTTCCCCCAATCTTCCAGCCAGCACTCTCCTTTTTCCCCCAATCTTCCAGCCAGCAAGATCACAGGTTTGCTCCTATACCTGGCACATTCAGGTCAACCTGAGATCTGAACCTGGGTCTTCCACATGGCTTCCAGCATTGTAGAACAGTTCCCTACTGCCTGTGCCACTGTGGCCAGGCCATTAATTTATTATTAAATAGGCTTTGTGTTAGATGAATTTGCCCAACTGTAGACTAATGAAAGCATTCTGAGCTCATTTAAGATAGGCTAGGCTAAGCTATGCTGTTCAGTAAGTTAGGTGTGTTACATGTCTTTTTTTAAGAATTATTTTATTTAACCTTATGTATTTATTTGTTTATTTTAATTTAACCAGAGAAGGACATAGCAAGATAGTGAGGAAAAGTGAGAAAGCAAGCCGCCAGATCCAGGATTCAAACCACAGTCAGCCATGTGGGAGTCCAGCACCCTTAGCCACCATGCCACCTGCCGTCACCTGTTACATGTATTTTCAACTCATATTGGGTTTATCAGAATACAATCCCAACATAAGGCAAGGAGCATTGGTATTTAAACCTTTTTTCTATTATCCAAGCTTCTCTCCTCCTCTATTTTCCTCCTTACATTGTATTAATGTCTTGACCTTTCCTTCTGATCCTTCTCCTAGAAAATCCCAGTCACAAATCCCTGTCATTGTTCTTACACTCACTCATGCCTTTGGAATATATGAATGCATTGTTCCTTTACACACTTGGAACACCCTACCCTCTCTTCAAGATTCTCTTCCTTCATGCAGAGAGCACATCTCCTTTTCACAGTTCTGTGATCTAGCATGCTTTCATTAATCAGTATGATATGGGACGTTCTCATTCTCATAAGCATGACCGGGCCAAGTGTTTTCATCCTACTTTTATATATTTTGACTCAAAGCTTAAGTCAGACGTGTAAATTTTCTGAGTTACCCAGTGAGTCACTACTTTTTATACCCAAGTAGAGGTACATTATTTTCACCACCAGATCATTTTTTTTAGATGGCTCATTCTATTTTTCAGATCTGACAAAGTTTCAAAAGATGCCACTTATGACCTCATTGTAGGATGTGATGGAGCCTATTCAACTGTCAGAGCTCACCTCATGAAGAAGCCTCGCTTTGATTATAGTCAGCAATACATTCCTCATGGGTACATGGAGCTGACTATTCCACCTAAGAATGGAGATGTAAGTCCTTCCCTTTCCACAACTCTCCTCCCAGATGAGTGGAGAAGCTGAGTGGTTCTCAGTGATATGTCTTGATCAATGTTGAGTTTTCCCACAAGAACTCTGTAATGAATAATACATTGGATATACAAGGACCTCTTTAACAATATCACTCTCACTCCTTACATTTTTATTATGTTTTCCTAAGTGCAAAAGAAAGAAATTACAACCTTTCTTCTGGAAAAAAAACAGGGAGTTTATATTAAATGATAGTATAATTTGTTTCTGATTTCTTGAGAGAAAAAAAAGTTGGAAATCAATTCTCCAGCCTACTGACAATCCAGAGTTCTTACAATTATGATTAATTCAAATGACGATTATTAAATGAAATGATGAGTAAGCTATTACAAAGATATTTTCATTGTATTTTTTTCATGCTCAGGTTCCCATTATTAAACGATATGTGACTGGGGCCAGCAGGTAGCACAGTGTTTAAGGTACTGGATTTCCACATGGTTGACTGTGCTTTGAGTCCTAGATGTAATGGATTGAAAATCACATGTGGTTGGGGGCCAGCAGGTGATGTGGTGGTTGGGGGCGCTGGACTCCCACATGGCTGACCACGGCTCAAATCCCAGACCTGGTGGCTTGTGTTTTCACTCTCCCTCTCTCTTTCTCTCACATACACTCTGTCCCTGCCTGGTCAAATTAAAATAAATAAATAAAGTTAAATTTAAAAAAGAAGGAAAATCACATGTGGTGTGTGTATGTATGTGCCCAAAATCCCAGAGAACGGAGGAGAAAATATTGCAGTGTGGCAATCACCCTGTGTGGGGGGGATGATTTCTCACTTTCTCTCTTTCTGTCTCTGTCTGTCTTCGGTGAGTGCACCTGCCCTTTCGCAAAAACCTAAACAATCAAAAATAAACAATATGTGACTGGAAGTAAATAAAGTGGTATGCAAATTTTTAGATTGTCAAAAGCAAACAAGTCTAGTACAAACTAGCTAGTTAGTTTGAGTTAGTGGTGTTACATACCAATGAACTATGTCAGTCAGTCAAATTTCTATTTAACATTGCATTGCCCCTTTTTTTTTTT